TAAAACATATCCGATATAAAATATTACATTTATTAAATGTTAATTATTATTTATATATATTGGTAATATATATAATTATTTAAAAAAATAAATTAATAATAACGTAAAATTATTTATAAACGTAAATATTATTAAATAAATATAAAAAAAAAGTTTAATAATTAAATATTTTATATTATTATAATTAAAAAAAAACGGTAAAGTAAAAAAAGTTAATAAAAATATTAAAAAAATTATATTATATAAATATTAAACAAATTTTATAATAAATTTCTTTAATTTATTAAAAAAAGTATTAATTATATATAATTATATTTTTAAACTGGAAAAATATAATAATTTTTATTTAATATTTAATATATAACTTTTATAAAATTAATAATTAACCGAATATAATAAATATATATATAAAATAATAAAAAAAAAAAAGATATTATTCGTAAAATAATTAATTACGTAATATAAAGCATTATTAATTTATAACAATTTTAATAATAATAAATTAATAAAAAATTAAATATATATATATTTATAAAAAAAAAAAGGTTTAATTAAAACGTATACATTTAAAAATTAAATATTATAAATAAAATAATAAATTATTAAATATAAACTTTATTATAATAATTTTTAAATTATTAAAAATTATTATATTAATAATATATATTAGATTTAAAACTTTAATAATATATTATTATAAAATAAATATAATAATATTAATTTATTTTTAATTTATATTTAAAATAAACATTTAATTTATAATATATAATATATTAATAAAAAATTATTAAATTAAAATAAATAATGTTTATAAAAATAATTAAATTAAAATATATTAAAAAAAGATATTATAATAATTAAAGATAATTATATAAAAAAAAAAAAATAATATAAATTTATTATTATATATAAATTAATTATTAATAAAACGTTATTACTTACAAAATAATTTTAATTATATATATAATTATTCTTATAATCTTTATATAAATTTAATAATTAATAATATTACGCAACTTATTTAAATACTATTACTAATCGTAATATTACATCCTAAATCTTTGTATTTATAGGCATAGACGCATACCTTATAGGGCTACATGCATATCGATAAGCTCAGCTGATCGCGAATACCAAGGATTCGTTAACATCACCTGGCTTGGCCTCTTTTGTCATACTCCATTACTTATTTCAACATTTTCATCACGAAAAGCCACTCCCCAATAAGCGATCAGTAGCGGACGACCATGGAAAATAACGCGAGCGCTTCTACAGCGCTTGTTCGAAAAAGAAATGACCTGGAGTTGATGCCCCCTCCGCCACCCCCGAAGCGGATCAAGAGACCAAAGAAAGTTATCGACGAGGATAGCTACACCGATGCGCTATCGCAAATTATCGCCCGAGACTTCTTTCCCGGGCTCTTAGAAAGCGAAACACAACAGGAGTATTTAGATGCAATAGAGTCTAAGGATGCAGCATGGATCTCGAGCGCAAGCCGACGCCTTCAGCAGGTCATGACTCCGGGACGTCGCAATACAAGAAGAGGAACATCATTAGTTCCAGGCGCGCAAACTCCTAGAAGTTTTGTAGGAGATACACCGGTATCAGTAGCTACCGAATCTACCGTGTCGAGTTCGAAGGAGAAGGACGATGTCGATACAAATATGAGCCTAGGAGCCTTTCAGGCCAAATATACGAGCGAGGATAACGAGAGCTTTTACAAACTACTCGATAAGCAAAATTCAAAGAAGGCCGAAAAATATGCGTGGCTATGGACGGGAAACAAGTTGCCTTCTAAGATGCAGCTGAAACAAAAACAAATCGAAGCAAAGTTGGCGGAGTCGCGGAGTTTGACGGATGATGGGTTCAAGAGGGATCGTTTAGCTATCAAGGATCGAGAGGAGAGACCTGCGCAGCCGGATACGTGGAAGTCGTTGCCAAATAACTCGTTGATGTTTATCCCCGAAAGTGTAGAGGATTCTATGGAGACCAGGGTACAAAGAGCAGAGACCGAATCTCGAGCCGCCCCGAAGGGTGTCAACTACGAGAACACTAGGCTGCCAGGGTTGAAGGTTGGCGACGACGAATTCATACCGTCATCTCCATCACTCTCTGCAGTTCGAGACGCCATTGCGGGAAAACGAGGAATGAGCGAGCTGGACTCGACTACTGTGGGAAGCGAAACCCCGAGAGTGAACGGGTATGCATTTGTGGATGACGAGGAGCCAGAATACGAATCACCGGCAGCACCGAAGATCGATCTTGGCCCCGGTGATTCAACACCAAATCCCTTTATCATCAAGGAGCAGAGCAAACGGGAGGCCCTTCACCATCGTATGGTTGACCGGATCTCACAGTCCAAGAGAACGTCTTCCAAGATCGGCTTGACTGGGAAAGTTGAGAAGACACCGGTCCCGAAATTCCCAAGCAGTCCCCGTGTCACAGGTGGGTTGACGCCGGCAGCGCAACGACTCTGGAGCCAAATTGGAGGGAGTGGTGGTGCTACACCCCGAACGCCTTTCGGAGGCCAAGGCACGCCGATGAGAGGAAGAAGTTCCAAGTTGAAGCAGGTGCTGAAATAGCGCACATACAAGCAGACACGAATTATGATAGAATTATGATACCCCAAATAGAGAATAATACGCATTATACATGATAGACTACATTCACTTGATGCTTAATTTTATTGAAGACTGTAATTGAAGACTGTACTTATATGTAGATTGTACAAAGGTTCTATGTTAATGCTCCCCCTTATGTTCATTGCACGATTGGTTTTAGGTGGTGGGTATTTGGAGCGGCACTAATAGGTGCAGTAGGTACCTTAGGTACATGTACCTAGGTAAGGTACGTACCGGTCCAGCCTTAAATGTTCCTACATTTAATTAGAAAGAGCTTTTGATAGCTTCAAAGTCGCGACTTACATACCTCCCAATCCTTCAGCCCTGCATTCGACCAAACATTGATTCTCCAATATACTTCCACCAGCACCCTCCCGAAATACGTTACAACATTCTAAACCAGCTTTGAATTTTGTACGATATGCCTAAAAGACAGGCCTCCGAAGCTTTGGAGGAGCTTGATGTTGGTTCGCCTGCATCGAAACGGTCGCGGTTTGATGACGGCCCAGAATTAAATGCCAATGGCGCGTTAGCTTCAGACGAGAGACTCGACGATACTCCTATCCCTGGCGAGGGGGGTGATGATGAATTCGAAGATGAGCCTTCAAAGGCGCCGATACGACAGTCTGCGCCTACAGTAGGGTACGACGACCTTTATCTAGATACAATCGATCGCAACGTACTCGACTTCGACTTCGAGAAGCTATGCTCCATCAGCCTGTCAAACATAAACGTCTATGCATGTCTGGTCTGCGGGAAATACTTCCAGGGCCGAGGTCCCAAGTCGCATGCATATTTCCACTCTCTCGAAGTCGGACATCACGTCTTTATCAACATGGAGACCCAGAAAGTATACGTGTTACCAGAAGGCTACGAAGTGAAGAGCAAATCCTTGGACGATATAAAATACGTATCCGATCCGAGATACACGAGGCAGGAGGTGATGGAGCTGGATCGCAAGGCTCGGACCGCGTGGACACTGGATGGAAAAGAATATACACCTGGTTTTGTGGGTATGAACAACATCAAGGAGAACGACTATCTCAATGTTGTAGTTCAGGCGCTATCTCACGTCTCGCCCCTACGAAACTATTTCCTACTAGAAGATCTGTCGTCGCGCATAGAGCTCGTGAAGCGCTGCGGCATCCTATTCAGAAAGATCTGGAACCCTCGAGCCTTCAAGAACCACGTATCACCTCACGAACTTTTGCAGGAGATCTCGTTGAGGTCTAATAAGAAGTTCACTTTGACAAATCAATCCGACCCTGTTGAATTCTTGTCATGGTTTCTTAACAATTTGCACCTAGGATTAGGCGGAAGCAGGACAAAGCCAGGAAGTAGTATTATACAACGAATATTCCAGGGGAAACTCAAAGTTGAATCGCAAGCTATCACAGCCAAGGCAGATGCTGGTGATCGCTTGCGGTTTGAAGAGGCAGCAGAAGTCAAGACAGATATCAATCGGTTCTTGCTCTTGACGCTCGACCTGCCCCCTGCACCTCTATTCCAAGACGAGCTGGAGCGCAACATCATTCCTCAAGTTCCCTTAACGACTATCTTGACCAAATACGATGGTATGAAAGCACAAGAGCATTTGGCGCAGAGGAAACGATACCGACTTATGCACCCGTTACCACCGTACCTTACCTTTCACATTAAACGCTTCTCTACGAACAAATTCGTGTCGGAGCGGAACCCGACGATCGTTACGTTCGATGCACGTGTCGGTCTCGATATATCACCCTACGTAGAACCAAGCCCGGCAGATCATCCTCCAGGGGAGCCGATCTGGTATGATTTAGTCGCGAACGTCACGCACGAAGCCATTAGGGCAAAAGAGGACGTAGCCGACTCGGGAGAGGAACGGAAGACGTGGAAGGTCCAACTTAAGGATAAAGGACGAGACGAATGGGTGGTGTGTCAGGATCTCTTCGTGGAGAAGACTCAGAAAGAACTGTTGTATCTCGGGGAGTCGTATCTGCAGATATGGGAAAGGCGGCGAGATCCTAAGGGCAAACGGAAAACGTGAGGGATGATTATGATATAGAGTATGAAATCTAGATGGGTGGGAAATAAAATAATAAATATAATTGGAACCAATATTTGCCCTTCTGTTGTCGGTATTACTCCATTCGGTGAAGCTGTTAGCGGTTATTCTTTTTCGGCTCTGTTGGATTGGAGGTTTAGTCGTCATCTTAAGAAGATACTTGAATAATACTAAAACTTTGAGCAGGATTAATCAGGTAACTAGGCTATCTTAAGAACATCAAGGTTTCTTGGACATGTATACCGATAAGGTAAGCCTCGTTTTATGGTGTGTCTCATTGCTTTTTTATAAGTGATGATCAATAGACTTCTCTAACTTAGACCCACTTTTGACCTACATGTAACTCTGTTTCACAAAGGCGCAGATGCGCTCATGCAAATGGTGTAAGAGACGGTGAAACCTCCCACAGTCCAATAATTTATCTTAGTTTAGATTTCACAACTGAGAAACGTCGACCGTTAGCTTTGTTAGGTACCACCTTTAATTTAGATATACTTGCATAAAAAAAGCTTTTCGTAATACACAATGAATATCGGTATGTAACTACCCCCATTTCCCCTTTATATAGAATTAAGATGACTTAAGTAATACTATAGACTGGCTCCTCGACCACGGCTACCTACCGCACCCCGTGATACGGGTTGGTATCCGGCGGCAGTTAGCGCAGCGGCTCGAGGAGATTAAGTCGTCGACTCTGACGGCCGACTACGAGCGCAAGATGAAGTACATCGAATTGTTGCGCACACGGCCTATCGCCATCGAGACCGCCACCGCCAACACGCAGCACTACGAAGTCGGCACAGGCGTCTTAGCCGGCATGCTAGGTCCTCGCATGAAGTACTCCTGCAGCCTATATCCCAAGGGCGGCGAGACCCTCGCCCAGGCCGAGATGGCCATGCTGGAGCTGTATGCCGCGAGGGCAGAGCTCCGCGACGGCATGAGTATCCTGGACCTAGGGTAAACGAGCCTACCAACCAGCATTGAAGAGCGCCGGTACTGACAGAAATCGTGTAATAGATGCGGTTGGGGTTCCGGCGCCCTGTATTTCGCCGAGATGTTCCCCAAATCCAAGATCACGGCGTTCTCGAACTCGCGGACGCAGAAGGAGTACATCGACGCTAAGGCCAAGGAGAAGAACTTGACGAACCTGACGGTCATCACGGGGGACGTGGTGGACTACGAGTTCAAGAAGCAGAGTTTTGATCGGGTGGTTTCGATAGAGGTATCTAGCTTGATATCACTAGCACCGCATTTTTATTATAGAACAGACGCGCTAACATTGTTATAAGCTCTTCGAGCATATGAAGAATTACGAGCAGCTTATGGCTAAGATATCGAGGGCGCTGAAGCCCGGGGGGAAGCTGCTTGTGCATATATTTGCGCATAAGAATACCCCGTATGATTACGAGGAGGGCTGGATGACTACGTATTTTTTTACTGGTGGCACTAGTATGTACTTGACTGAGACTATACTTAACCCCCATATAGCCCGGAGGATGGTCTTACTGACTTGGTTGGTTTCGAATAGTGCCGTCAGCGGATCTACTGTTGTATTTCCAGAAAGACCTTCACATTGAGAAGCAATGGTGGGTCAATGGAAATAATTACTCCAAGACCTGTGAGGTAAGCATACCCGCGGGTTTCGTTCCCATTACATACTTTGGATAGCATGCTGACCTGAGCAAAGCATTGGCTTTCCAACATGATCGCGAACAAGAAGAAGATATGGCCACACCTGGAAGAGACGTACGGAGAGGACAATGCGAATATGTGGTACAATAGGTGGCAGATCTTTTACATGGCTTGTTCGGAATTATTCGCCTATGAGGGTGGGGATACCTGGGGAGTGGCCCATTATCTATTCGAGAAGTCGAAATGATCGTGATAGCAACACCGTAGTATGTGGTACACTGTATAGACTGATTGTCTGATTCTTCTCTTCTATTGACCTGGGCCTCCTCCTGATGACTGGCGACTATTGCGTATCTGCATTTTCATCTTCAACCCTTCTTAGTCGTGGTATCTGTCCTCTGCGCGGTTCTATATCGCCCTCGCTGGATTACCAGTCTAGTGTTCCCATGGGTGCTTCCAGCCTAGGAGAACGGGGCCTGGGTTCGTGTAAGTAATAACTCGATATTGTTCGGATCTAGGATTAATTACCGTCTTTCCTCGCGCGCCACATCAGCTGTCGGGGAAGTTAGCGCGTATAATTCTCACTGTAAGAACAGACAAGGTAGCCTTACAAAGAACCACATGCTAGCGCCGAGGGCCGTAGCAGTGAATCTATAGATGCCGGGGACATGAGGCCTGATCGGACCGGGGCCAGCCATGGTGTCTCGAATCTAGAAATTGCTAATTGTGTCGGGAATAAAGGTAATGCGTTCTTCTGCCGAGAGGACATACGCCTTTTCGATAGGGATTGGTGTGAGCTCGCAATGGCAAGAGGAACCGACAAGTTGGTATCGTGAGGTTAATAGGAAATAGCTGGATAACCTAGTTGCATGCCGATTCTCGAAGAGCTTGGTAGGTATTAGACGTTAAGGTAAGCCTTTAAAACCGAAGATTCCCCGCGGCTTGCTGAGTTAGCAGATTTAGTATTATCTTATGAGTGATTAGTACGCTAAACCGTGGATCCCGCACAGACGCATTCTGCATTCGTCATCTTCCGAGTTCAACTGCAAGGTAGGTACCTTGTACATGCGTACCTTTTAAAGTGGGACTAAATTTGGGGCGTTTTTGGGGCGTTTTTGGGGCGCCGTCTTTCTGTACAAGAACGCGAACAAACAACCTCCAAGTGGCTTCGTAAACTAAACTAACCTGCGTTTACGAAACAGATTCTCATAAAACATAATGACATCGACCTCTTCATAATCTGACCATATCCCTCGCGACCCAGTTGGTCACTGGTTTGCGATGTTAACGTGGCAAATAAATTCCTGACCTGGTCAACTCCAACGGTTCTTTCGCCATCAACCATTTATCTCCAATCCGAATCACTATTGCTTCGACCTGCGAATTGTGCAATCGTTAACACCCGAAGCTTTGATATCGAGTATGGCGCACAATAATGGAAGCGAGGCGCCTTCGCCTCGATCTTTTGCGATTCAGCATCAACGACCTAAGGATAGTTTCGTTGGCTGCTCTCGAATTAGTGACTACGAGCTCCTAGGCAAATTAGGAGAGGGTACTTTTGGGTAAGTATTCTCTAAACCTGTTGCTGCTATACTAATGATGCTGACTCCCCTTAAGTGAAGTTCACAAGGCGAGAGCACGAAAAAATGGTGCCCTGGTTGCTTTGAAGAAGATCATAATGCACAACGAGAAAGATGGATTCCCAATTACAGCACTTCGAGAGATCAAGCTTCTTAAGCTGTTGTCGCACAGGAATGTGTTGCGCCTGGAGGACATGGCCGTCGAGCATCATAGTAAGATGAGTAGGTTTACTCGCCCTTGCGCAATGATTTCCCACAGACTGACTCCTTCAAGCCGACAAGAGGAAACGACCGATCATGTATATGGTAACGCCATACATGGATCACGATTTATCTGGCCTACTCGACAACCCATCCGTCCAATTTACAGTACCGCAGATTAAATGCTACCTCCTCCAGCTCCTCGAGGGTCTCCGTTACCTACACGACAACAAGATTCTCCATCGAGATATGAAGGCCGCCAACCTACTCATCAGTAACAAAGGCATATTGCAGATTGCAGACTTCGGTCTTGCAAGACATTACGAGGGACAGGTCCCCGAAAAGGGAAAAGGTGGTGGTGAGGGTCGGAGAGAGTACACTAGTCTTGTAGTCACCCGATGGTACCGACCTCCTGAGCTCTTACTACACCTTAAAAAATACACCACTGCTATTGACATGTGGGGTGTTGGGTAAGAATCAAAGACACTTTATTACCGCGTGTTATACTGACGTTTTCCTTAGTTGTGTCTTCGGTGAGATGTTGGTTGGCAAGCCCATCTTGGCCGGCGAGAGCGATACGCACCAGCTCGATATCATCTTTGACTTAGTTGGAACCCCGACGGACCAGACCATGCCAGGATGGAAACAATTGCCTGGTGCTGAGGCTATTAATCCGCGTCCGCGACCCGCATCATTGGCGCAGCGGTTCCGCGAACACGGTTCAAGCGCCATCTCTCTATTGAAAGAGCTCCTAACACTTGACTGGCGAAATCGTATCAACGCTATTGATGCGCTAGAACATCCCTACTTCAAGTCTTCTCCTTTGCCGGCAAAACCAGAAGACCTCCCCACCTTTGAGGACAGCCACGAATTGGACCGTAGGAAATTCCATGATCGAAAAGCTGCTCTACCGCCCGCCCCTAAGGGGGGCACTGTCGGTGTCGGTGCATTTGGAGGTCCCAATGCGGAATTTGGTAGTGGTGATGGGTATGGTAATAGACGATACCCCAAACATCATGGCGGATATCGGGGCGGCGAAGAGGGCCGTCGACCTGCCTGGGCCCGGGACCAACCTCACATGGATCATCGATTGCCGCCACGCCCCCCTCCCCCTGAGTACCCAGGAAACGGATGGGATAACCCTGCCGAACATCACGAATCATTCAGGGATAGGGCGCCGAGAAACCGTGGGGCTAATCGGCCGGATGTTGACACCTACATCCCTCACTACCGTGATGGTGATCGACCGCCTAGAGAAGACCGGCCACCAAGAGAAGATCGGCCACCGAGGGAAGATCGGCCACCAAGAGATGATCGTCGAAGATGGGAGGATCGAGATAGTAGACGACGTGACCGGGACCGTCGCGAAGGAGATTACGACGACCGTAGCCGTGCGAGCCAGACACGCAGCCGCAGCCGTTCGCCCGTTCGGGATAGGGACCGAGACGTATATCGGCGATAGAATCGCAATAAGCCTCGGAGAAGAAGGCCAAATATCCCATCCCCGCCTCCGCCACCTCCACCTCCGCCGCCGCCTCATTTCCCCAACAGGTCGATATTCCCCAAAACTACGAACAATTTCTATTCCCCTAATTTCTAGTAACTCATTTTATGGTCGAGTTTGCGGACAGGGTATGCAGCAAGCCAACGGAAGGACCGCGGCACATGGTTTTGTCTTTGGCGTTCTGCGTTATGTGTGAAGTGATTTAGGCTCAGGTGTGCGAGAAAGCGTTGTCATGCCGTCCTTAAAATCATCGGTTCTGATAGGCAAAGAATTGACTTTAATTCTTTGCGACGGTCGCATGAGCCGAGCGGTAACTACCTATGCTGGAGGCTTCCCTCGGGATTGCTATATGTTGTAGAATCAACAAGTAGCACTGAATTAAGATAAGTGGTCTCTATCTAAAGAGCTCATGTTTTTATTGATATCGCTCTGATAGCTACTTGTAATTTGGAGGAGTTAATAGAGCAGCGTAGTGTCACTTTACAAAGTTGAATAATTGTTTCGCTATAGAGTTGACGGTTCAATTTGTTGCGTGTTAAGGTACATATCCACTACATTTCTCTATACATGTATTCTGCGTCTTACGACACAATATCACGGAGTGCTATTTATGTAGGTTGGGTACTTTCTAAAAATAGCGCCTGCCTTTAAATCATTTCATCTTTAGTATGTCTGGGTACATACTGTTGCTTGGTAACTCATGTCGGCTCGCACCTGCCAAAAGCATGATGTGCTGCAGCGTACAGTACCTACGTACAAGGTTTACCTTCAAGAGAAAGTCGTGGTTTCCTTTGTGCTTTAGGATATGTCACAAATCTAACAGGTAATAAACAGATACATCAGGCAAGGAAAGCACATCCACCCGAACTCAAATATTCCAAGTCACATTTTAATTTACCATTCCCATCTTTCTAAACTCAGTTTGAAAACTAACTACTACAACTTTCTTCGACACAACCCACATAACCTACCTACTCAATAACAGTCTCATTTGTCTAATAATCAAACCTAAGCGCCAACCATTCGGACCTCGTCGCTTTAGTTTTGACTTTAAGGATCGTCTCTTCGGTTTTGCGAGCTGCTATGTCTTATGCACTTTCATTTAAGCTCGTTCAATCGGATATATCAACTACATCGAATTGAACAGTTCTATTATATCGCAAGTGCACGCCTGCATAAGAGCAGGGCATCATACAAGAAATCCCCGAGACTATGTCCCCGGAGCCCTTAGAATATAAGGATCATCGTCAGAAGTTACCAGACGACGCAAAGAACACGAAGCACCATGTACTCGCTTACACGAAGGTATGAACTTCACTATAGGGGTTAGTGACCCGGTTCTAATCTGATATAGGAACTACTTGAAAGCACGGGAAGTCCGGTTTCAATGGACCAACAGACTTGGTGGCGTTCCCGATAGGGCGCTGTGTCTTCAAACCGGCAGACTGCCTTTCACACAAACGAGCTCTAACAATTTAATTCCGCATTCTACTTCCACTCCACGGTGAAGCTTTTCCAGGGCCACCTCTTAATCATTCTCAATAACCTATATTTATACAACTCTACTTAACGAAACACAATTATCTACTATATACCCGTCACACTCTGGCCAATACGGAAGTATTGGAGCGCAAATATGAGTTGCTTTATCCCTTTTCTAAGAAAGATATACTAAGGTTAGAAGTTACGCCGAAACACTTACGCCGATTGACTAACTAAGACTAATATTAGTTACTTGCCCTCGCTATTGCTGGCTTACTTTCAGTCGGGGTCATCATGTTGGGACTGATCCGGCCGAGGCAATTCCATGTTAAAGACTTGGGCAGGAGAGGTCTCTGCGACGGTTCTCGCTCTGGGCCCCAGCCTCAAGCCGGCAGCCTCAAGCCGGACAAGCTGGAGCGCTGGAGAAGACGGAACCCAGAAGCAGGCCCGCACTGACTTCACTCACAAGATGACCTGAGAGGAACATGAATAATGTCTATACAGCTTTAGACAGAGTTCGACAAGGACAAGGGGCAGACGAAGGAACCCAGCGAATGCGCGACACATGCCCTTGGTAAGGCTGCTGGCTGATGATGTTGGGCGAGTCTCACCTACGCTATGACATTGAAATCTCTTATACGTCAACTATCACAACACAAACTTGAGCAGATAGTAACTTTGTGCGGTTTATCACAAGAACAACCACCGTGCCATAAAACCTATCAAACACGCTGCCCTAAGATAAATCCTTGAGGCTATCGGTTCTATCACACAGCTAGCTTGATTAGAACCCAAGCATACGATTGGCAACCCTGTTTCTGAATCTTACAAAAACAGGGCTAGGGAAAACTCGAAATAATTTAAATAATACCGACCGAAGTTCCGATGGAATACTTAAAGATGGACGGCGATAATCGGCAGTAGGCCCTTGATTATGGGTTTGAGTACCGTGAGGAGATCTTTTTGTAGAAATGGAATCAATGACGACGAAATGGACGAAATGGACGAAGCCGAAGACGAAGAATTAGATTTTGAGAACGAGGAAATTACCAATTACGATCTAGCCACCTTTAGAGTCCTAAATGATAACGAAGAGGTTGAAGCGATTGTCGAGGATCTTAATGCAGAAAAGCGCACAATCGAAATGGACATCGCTGATATACTCGAAGGACAAAAATGAATCGGGAAGGCCCGAAAAGCTCAAGACCGAAAAATGCAAAGCAATGGAGAAGGCATTTGACAACCTTCGGGGCCAATTGGAAAATCCTAAGTACGGTATCGTGAAGTTGACAGGGGATATATAAGTGCTTGCGGAAGCTATAGAAATGAAATTTCACATTTTATGAATATTAAGCCACACCAACAACAGCAAGCAATTGCTACCTCCATCTTGGATACGACCCCCTGAAAGATCATCTACAATCGTTCTGCAACCAACTTCTTAATGTCGGATGGGGCTTACCCAAAGTCATTATCTCAGACCGAGACCCTAAGTTTCTGTCTGAATTAGGCATTAGGAGTATGCTTATACGATTTAAAAGTAAAACTTTCAATTGAATGCTAAGTGCAATCTGCTTCCGCTGATTCCACTGTCCTATTACATTTGACGAGATACGGATCTCCATTCAGGCGCGATGTCGCATATCTTAGACCATCCGATAAGAGCAGTTTGTATTTACTGAAAATTTAAAAATATTGTGATTATTCTATTGGGAAAGATGCAGAAGGTGACATGAAGTTTCGTCGCCCGACTTGTAAAGGGGTAGGATTCTGATAGGCTAAACACACGAAGTTAGATACAGGGGTATATTTGTATATCTCGTGACCCAGGCACCTGGAGCACTTTTACTTGCCATAATATTATATATCTTGCAAGATAAATAAACAAAAACTCAGTAACACGAAAAAAAAAATGAATGAATACCTAACTTTATCCCTCATCACCGCGTCCGCGCTCGCGCAGAAGATTCCAGATCCCCTCATATGCGAGGACACGCTGGACGGATCGCCCCCGTTCCAAGCGGATTCCATACCGTGCCTGCTGCGGTGCCAGGACCCGCTGGCGGTGGCGACGGGTAGTCTGCTGCCGGGCTCGGTCAACGAGACGGCTATCCCGTACTGCCAGCTCGACTGCGTGTACAGCGCCGCGTCGCCGGCGCAGTCGGCGCGCGCGCCGGATTGTTATCGCAGGTGTCAGGTGCGTAATCAGGGGTCGCCGGAGAATGCCGGGTGGTGCATGTATTGGTGCGCGGACGGGTTCGGGGATGTTGTTGAGACGACGGCTTGTGTGCCGTCGTTGGAGTTTGGGGCTGTGAGCACTGCTGTGGAGGATGGGAGGACGGTGACTTTTAGACGTGAGTTTTTTTTTTCTTTATTTTTTCTTCTTCTTCTGGTGGTTGGGGCTGGCCGGGATTGGGGTTGGAGTGTCTGTATAGGTGTAGGTATAGTACGGTTAAGAAGTAAGGTGTCTAATGCTGTAGTAGCTGTTAGCCAGGGCTTGGAATGGCGGAGCTGGTACGAGACGCAGACTGTGATGCCGATTACGTCCAGTTCGAGTTATACGTATACGGCTCCGTTTAGGGTGAGTCCGTCGGGTTTACCGCTGAGTACAAGTAGTCAGGGCGGGCAGGTGACTCAGACGTCGACGTCGACGTCGACGTCGAGGTCGGGATCGGGATCGGTTGTTAGTACGGAACCTGTTCAGAGCACTGGGACGGAGACGGTGACGGGGAAGGGTGGTGAAGCTGTTACGTCGCCGACTACTACGGCCGCGGGGGCACGTCTTTCGCAGGCAGGTTTGCTGGGGGTTTTAGGTGCTGTTGGATGTTTGATTGTGATGGCGGTGTAAATTTGAGTGTACGATATTGTTTGACGCTTACGAGTAAAGCTTGTGCTTTCTTTATTACTAGTTTGCATTATATAAGTACATTAGGTAGTTATAATTTGACATGTAGGCGCCAACTAGACCTGCTTATTTTGTTGTAGGTAGGTATCTTAGAGTTGTCATGAAAGATATTAATAACACCAGCTTCTAATATGTTCAATATAGCTACTAGCTTGTGACGGGGGCGAGCTTTGTTTAGCTCCTGGCAAGTCTAGAACTATCATATTTTGAGTCCCGAGCTTTCTAGCCGCGGCCTGGTTTAAAATCATAGTTAGGTACCTAGATAGCCCAGTAGCCATGAACTCCCCCCTGGACTATTGTATATGGTCAACGACGCGTGTGCACTGTAGGTTGATATATGAATCTGACACTTGCCGATCATGTATGACCCGAGTGCGGAATAGCCTGAAAGCACCGCCTCAGGGACTCATCGAGATCATTACGAAAGGTCACTACTGCTCTCCTCGTGAATCGTCTGAGAAAGTAACCCCTTGCGTCGCCTCTTAGGCTTTTCAGAAGACCTTAGTAGCTTCCACTGCCTTTCGAATATCTCGTTCGTATCGTCTTTTACTTGCCACTTTGACTTTACGCGTCTCGAAGTTGAACTGGATGCGGATGCGGATAGCTTGCTAGAGCTGTCCCCGGAACGAGTACCGGAGTCTAGCTCATAAGATTCCTGATCGTCGTCATATGAGAGTGGGAGTTTACCCTTCCTGAGATAATCTGAATCTCGATCCTGTGATGCATCGACACCTAGCGTAACAAAGGCGAGGCTGGACGTCCCATAGAGCGCGCAGCCGGCACATATACCTATAATAGCCGCGCAGGCGAACTGCATTGGGTATTAAGATCAGTATGATTAACGGCGATCCCAGGCAGTATGCTATTGCAATTGGATATTCTTACGTAAATATAGAGGTACTATCTTACGATTAGCATCCGAGCCTTGCTGTCTACGCGGGCAAATTATGAAGGGGTATTACAGAGTAGGCTATAGGAGAATACCTTGAGCTTAGCAGCCAAACCCACAATAGCTACGGCCGTACTCGAGATCGAGTGAAGCATGTACCAGATGGGAGATAAGAGAAATACGACTAGAGTAAAGAGATAGTAGATTGGATAGTGTAAAGGTATCGTGACGATATAGCACAGCTTCAGTATAAGCTTGAGCGCGGGATACAGATATGAGGTGCCAAACGTCTGCAAGGGCTTCAGGAACTTTAGCCAATCCATTGCCGCGGATTGGCCTCGTGGCCTGGATAGCCTGAACACGGCGTAACCGATGATCTCTCTTGTGTTATTTTCTAACTGGAGAACTTGGAAAGTAAAGTCGACCGGCGAAAAAGGTAGTTTGCAGTTTGCGGAATTAGTTTGCGGAATTGTACTCTCCGGTAGATTGTGTCAATTATCTCGCTCTCTTGACCGAGTAGTATTAATTGTCGTCGGTCGTCGGATAAGGTATGACGATGGTGACGCTTCCGGTCTTGGCAACGCACAGGTGCAGATTCAGATGATCTACTTTATGTACCACAAAACGCGTACTATATGTATGCGGTTGTCCGATCCGATTTGGGGTAAGTCGGTACCTAGTGTAAGGTAGGTAAGCTCTAGGTTTTAGAAAGTCGAGACAGGTTTGTAACTTATGTAGCTCCAATCGATGATCAAGTCGATCGAAAATGTATTTGAAACTTCTGGGTCATGGGGGAGATTTGGAGAGGCTCAAGGCTGTTATGTAATTTGAATACTGTACCAGTCAGTGCTCACCGCTGGCTGACCTCGACGAGGACATATCTGTATTTTGTGATGCATGTATAGATTAAAATGTCTTTTTTATCGTCTCATACAAACAATGTGCATATACTTTATTAATGTGGACATTTCTTTTCTTTTTATAGTTCCCTTTTTAATTAAATATGTATGTCGTCAGATCGTCAGATTATTATATACAATTATATAAAGTTTGTATAAATGATGAAATCATGAGAGGTATGTATAATAAAGTACCTGGACTAGTCTGATTACGTATTTAGGTACTTGGACCCTTGCGGCGATATTCGGTTTATAGTCCGTGCGCTATTTGCTGACTGGAGACTAGAGCGGGCAAGGGAGGAACGGCAAGGAAGGAGCAGGGGATATCGATTGATTGGATTCGCGGTTATCATGGATTCTGGAAGGACAAACCTTAGACAACCTAAACAACCTGGACAACCTAAACTTGGACCTGAGCTTCGTCCTTCCTCGTTTAGATCTTCCCCTAACTGCCCAATCGCTTACTCGTGCTTGGTTTTTTGCTTGTCTCATCACTCCAACTACTTAAAATCGCGAAAACGGTCTCATGACCAATTTTTGCTTGCCATGATCCACGTTTACTCGTCCTCAGCTTGACTCACTTCCGACAAATCCAGGCAAATCCCAAGCAATTCCTCTTCGGTCACACCGCTGCTCTCTTGCGGCACCCGCGCAACTTGTCCACAGCCCACAGCCCACAGCCCACGACGCACGACGCACGACGCACCACATCCCGCCCCGTCAGCTTCTGACTTCCCCGCCATTGACCACTGCCTATTGCCCGGATACCCAATACCCAATACCCATTACCCATTACCTATTACCCATAGTCCATAGCCCCTTTCTAAATTCCCATAGGAACAAGCAAGCCTAAGCCTACCTAACCATCAAAGGGGGGAAATCCTTTCCTTCCCCAGTCCCCCACGCCGAACAATGGGAAACAACCCTTCCTCAGCGTCGAAGCCGGCCACCCCCACTACTGCCTCGTCTTCGTCCCACGATTCTCCGCGAGCTTCCAAGAACCAACCCAAGAACCTGGTATCCATCCATAACCAGCACATTAGGTCACCAGCCTCTCCCGAAGCCTCGACCATCCAGGCAACCGGTACTTCGATACTTAACAAGAATTCGAGACCGCTCTCCATACTTAACTCGTCCTCACCTTCGGCTAGCTCTTACCACTCTACCATTGCCCCTAAGATTCCCGAGCAGAAGCCGAAGCCTGCCGAGATTAAAGATGAACACTCCAAGCCTGTAGCCGTTCCCTTCTCCTCTTCCCATTCGGAACAGGACTCATCTTACGCCCACGATTTCCGGGACGAGGACAGCCTAATATCAGGCCCCGCCTCCAGCAGCATCCAGGATATGTCCTATCCACATCCTCGGCCGCCGCGCCTCCCGCTCCCAATAGAGGAAGAGATCCATACTCCCGGGTCGCCGATCATCGCGCCAAGTGATGCTGACGTTAAGAGCGTTGACGATGTCGCATCTCTCGATGATTCGGTTAGTCTAACTCGTCGTACATCAGGACTTAGCAATGCGACCGACGAGGATGACACCGAAGAACTTCGGGTCGACAAGACGAGACCTACGATACCAACCCGGATTGAGTGGTCGCGGGGCGGCCAGAAGGTCTATGTCACAGGAACGCCGTTTCAATGGAGTAGGAAACAGCGATTGCTTCCATCGTGAGTTTTGCCTTCTCGCGGTTATCAATTCGGCTTCATATATCTGGCGACCATGCGACGACCTTGTGCGCTGGGTAACATCGGCTAAGCAAGTAAGACTCTTGATCGTTGACTGCTGACACTTCTCGGACTATAGCAAGGATAGAGATAATGTGCTAGAGACGGTAATACCCGTTTTCCCAGGCACACATCATATAAAATTCTTGGTCGATGGCAATATGCAGACATCGCCAGACCTGCCTACTACTGTCGATTTTGGAAACAATCTGGTAAACTATATTGAAGTAAGCGGAGACGATTGCGACTCGCGGAACGTCCCATTAGATGTTGGTGTTCCCAAATCGAACGAGGCTGCTTTATCTCTTCCTTCAAGGCAGCCTTCGCACGACGACTCCGCTAGGGGTCCCCAGCAGAAGGTCATAGATCCGATTGAGAACTTCTCGGGCAAGATCCCCCAATATCTAGACGATTTTGACCAGCCCGAAGATTCATCATTATATAAACTTTCTTCCTTAGCCCTCGAACGACTCCCGCCACCGCCCAGCCTACCTGGTTTCTTGAGTAAGCCAATCATGAACAATGTCACACTGATCAAGGATGACAACAGCGTCCTGAACATGCCAAACCACACCATGCTTAATCACCTGGCTACTTGTAGTATTAAGAACAATGTTCTTGCCGTATCGGCCACTACCAGGTACCAGAATAAGGTAAGTTACCTATTGTTGTTAGTTACCTCTCTCGAACTCTTAGAGCTAACGGTTATAAAGTACGTAACTACAATTATTTACAAGGCTACGAAGAACGAATAGTTTTCGATGTTCGTGGTAAAAGTATGAGATCGTGCCGGATGTCCTTCGGATACGTCACATTTCCTATTGTACGGGAGCTTATCTCAATGAGGGCAAGATGTCCCGTTATGGGCTTGCAATCAGGACAGGGGAGAAGTCCTATATGCTGTGCTTAGAACATGACTCCGGGATTTGGAGTGCAGCACCGATTAGTGCCGTGTGTCTCGCATTAGCAAGAAGATAATGAATTCGGTAATAGGTTGCTCGTGTAGAATGCAATGCGCAATGATTCAAACCATAAAAACGGGTTGCTACCTATTATGTATGAGGATAATACGATTTCATGAAACTATAGAAGGATGCGTTATGATGTAAAGGTTATAGCTGCGCAGGCAGAACATACGGAATCCATTTAGACAATGCTGGTAATAAATTTAGAGAAATTCGGCACAATCACAGTCACAATCAGGCAATATTAGACTGCTCTTAATCTCTCCATTTGACATAGACTTCATCTGTTCTGAATCGTTGCGTACAAGTACTGTCCTCTAGGGGAGTACGGAATCCTGTCTCATAGGCAAGTAGACCTGCATGGGCGATCATAATGCCATTGTCAATGCAAAAGCGCTCGTCAGTCGCATATACGCTTCCGCCTCTCTCCTTAGCCATCTGTCCCATCATCTCTTGTAGACGTTCGTTACATCCTACGCCACCTACAATGAGCACCTGGTTACTGCCCACGTGTGCCATAGCGCGTTCGGTGATCTCGACGAGCATGGCAAAAATAGTCTCCTGGAGGCTGTAACACAGGTCCTCAGGCGTAATCCTATCCTCCTCCTTGACCTCCTCGCCCGCCGCAACGCGCGCCTCCTGCGCGCGCATCTGCGCGGCTAGCAAATCGGCCGCCGTCAGGATACCGCTGAAACTACAATCCATACCCTTAACCGCGTACGGCAAATCAAGCAAGACGCGACCCGAGGACCGACGAGCTAGCAGCTCGATATTATACCCCGGAGCCGGGTCGTTGCTGATAGCCAGCGTGCGCGCAAACCGGTCGAGACAGTTGCCTACGGCAATGTCTAGCGTCTCGCCGAAGATGCGGTACCGCCGCTCCGCGTACGCGATCACCTGCGTGTTGCCGCCCGACACGTACAGCACGACCGGGTCCGTGGCCCCCGTGATCTCGCGGCCCATCTCGATGTGTCCGACGCAGTGGTTCACGCCGACGAGGGGGAGGCCCCAGAGCAGGGCGACGGTGCGCGCGGCTACGGCGACGGATTGCAGGGGGGCGCCCATGCCGGGGCCCTTCGTGTAGCATACGCAGTGGAGCTGCTGCTCGGGGCGGGTTATCCCGGCGGCGGCTAGGGCGGCGCGCGCGACGCGGGCGAAGAATGCGCGGTGGTGCCGCGCTGTGTCTTTGGGGAGGAACCCGGTTCCGGGGGGGGATACGAATGTGTCGCGGATGTTGGCTAGGATGGTGGATTTGCCGGTGGTTGGGTCGTGCGATATTATGCCGATGCCGAGTTTGTTGGCGCTGCCTTCGCAGCCGATGGCTAGGAGGGGGGTGGTGGTGTGTTTTGCCATGGCTTGGCTTGTCTTTGTTTCGTTTCGTCTATTGTGATCTATAGCAGTAGGGTATAGCGCTGTGCTGGCTGCGGGGCTATTTTGATATGTAAGTAATAGAAACACTTGACCTAGGCGGCTTTTATAGATTTTATAGTTAAAGTCTTGAAGGATGGTTGCCGCAGCTTGTTTAAAATATATGGTTATAGTACTATCATATTTAGAGTTTTTATGGCACAGAAACTTGTATAGGGGTTGTGATAGATCTTATAGGTATAAGAAAGTATGTAGCTACTATGAGGCTATCTCGCGGTGGGGTCCTCGCCTATCTGCCATGTAAGAGCGGGAACGCAGGTGCAGAGACCCCTCCAATGACGACCAAATTTTTAAGCTGACGATCCTTATCGATAGACTGTCTTCCCCAATTGGCTAGTGTGCAGCTTCGCCGGTGGGTCTCCGGCGCCTTAAAGTTTAGGTACCAAGTTGGCTGTCTATCGAGTTGCGCTAGAGTGGGGCAAACCGCACTTACTCACCTAATGTTCTTGACGGGTAATAATAGCCTTCAGTCCTCTTTAGCACCAAGGAGAAATATTACCAAATCGCTTTTTTTACTCTTACCTTTTCCAAACCTGTTACCCTCCCACAAACTTGACATATACTCCCATGCTATTTTCCCATACTTCCGATTCTTTGCAACCTCTTGTATTCCTCGAGTCTTGCATCCCGTATCGCCCCCCCTGTCCATGTACTTTTTAAACAGGAGCTGCATGTGCAGCGATTCGCCATTTCTCGTCGGTAATCCGAGACGACCACCCACCCAGTCCGCTCTCTAACCATCGCTGACCTTTTTCTCTCGCAGATAATATATTCTTGATATTCTAAACCCTCTCGAAACCTGAAATTTCTTGCAATTCAAGGCAATGGCCGTATCTATTAGCTGTTTACCCGTTGCGAGCTTCTCCTGCAGGTCAGCAACCCTGCGACTGTGCGAAATCCCAGACTCTCCACCCGATCGACTTCTGTCACACACACCACCGACTACAGAATCGTCGATGCTGGGAAGAGACGGATAACCTCTATATTACTACTATACTTTTAAACCTCCTGGCCCTATATCCTCGTTATGGTCCTGCAGCGGGTTACAGCCGAGTATACCTTGCTTACCCAAGAAGGATCCCCCCGAGGCCATGGCAGTGCGCCGGGGTCGCTGACATGAACGCAACGCCTATCTTACGCTAGTTACTTCGTTAACTGTGTAAAGCGCAATATTTTTGTGCTTTTAATCCGCCTCTGGAAATCTAGTGGCTATATCTTATTCGTAAGTCCCCTAGCTTTCGGTTAGAATCGCAGCACCCATGTATATCACTTTCTCCGCACGGTATCTCCGACGTCAGATACCAGATCAGCTATAAGGTCTTTGACCAACGACATCAAACTCCAATACTTGAGATGAACTTTCTATTTGATTTTATACCTTCAAATTTTCACCGTCTTGCTTTTATATTGTGCATATAACTAAGTTGTGGCTATCTTAGCAAGCTCCGTTACTCTACGATCGTTCTAAGTTAGGAGAACCGAGAAGCGGAAACACCCAAGACCGTATCATTGCACGGCGATTTGTGTCCTAGCCCAATACATTTTACGATGAGAATCCTTGGCCGCTGTTTCGGCCTCAGACGTGACTCGGACAGTATGCTAAGAGCAGCGCAAACTCGTCAATACTTTCCCTAGGGACAAATCCTCCAGTCGACCTTCTAGGAAGCATGATCACTTGTCAAGTCGTGCAAAACAACACAACGACAACACTTATAGTCCTGCAGCTTCTATGGAAACAATCATCGAATACGAGGACAAGCATCACGCAGACCAGTCAAATCAAACACAATCACGAATAGAACACGAGGTATTTGTATTCATACATTGGTGCTCTTTGCCCCTTTCATCATTCAGCGCCCTAAACATCATGTTTGAGCTCGCCCCTAACTCCGCTGGCTATGCATGTCGCTCTGCGTACTATATATTACACCAAAACACTAATCGGCTACACCTCTCAATTTGCCATCTTCGTTCAGCTCATATGCTCGCGGGAGTATGTACAGGTTGCTAATGCGAACTTATGAAAACTGGCGGAGAGGGGTGGGCATATCGGTCGATCTTTAATCTCAACGATAAAACACGCAGAGCGCTCTATTTATGCTCGGAATATCGCCGGATGGAGTGCGCTTAGGGTCGATATGATTCGTGCCTGCTCTCGTTTGCAGGATGGAACAGGTAAATGCATTCGCCTTTTCTGGGACATGGTATACTGCTGTGTATCGAGCAACCACTTGAGACAAGGCCGACTCAATGATGGTTGTTTGTTATCTGGGCTTTTACCGCCCAGAAAAAGCATTACTCGAGCGCTACGTTTCAGTTTCTACCAATCCTCCCAGATCAACCTTAAAAGCCTAGTAAGGGCTGCTTAGGGCTTGACTGGAGATCCATCTCATGTCTGAGGTGGTCGTTGTGATTGAGGCTGGGCCGTTGGTGCTTGGGGTAGTGGGAGGGCCTGACGACTTACGCTACCTGCCTGGAGAGCAGCAGCATCGACTCCTTGTCTCTTAAACAAGAAGGGCGAGGGCGGTATTGTCGACCGGAATTTCATCTGACGAGAGCTGTTGGGGTCCACTTCATACACTGGTTGGTCGTCGTCATCATCATCATCCTGGTCATATTTCCAACGGTCACTCTGAGTAAAGTCCATCTCACGCGGAGGACTCTTGTGCCCATTAAGTTTGGGTGGTCGACGGTCGATAAACAAGCGATTTAATCGCCCTATACGACGACGGTACGAACACATCTCTTCAGGCTCTGCGCCACCTAGGTTGATATTATTGGAACTGATTTGCTGGAAAGACTGAAGTGAATCTAATTGGTTTTCCTCGTCCGGCTCCATGGAATCTGATGCAGATGCCGGCGGAGTCATCAAATAGGTGGTCTTCGCGGGCCTAAAGCCTAGCTCCTTCTCCTCCTGGACGGGAGGTAACGGATCAGCAGTCAGGTCCACATAGTTGTTGTTCCATCTCCTATGGTTCTGGATCTTTATCTCGACATCGTTACGCAATTCATTCTCCTTTTCAGCGAGCTTATCAGCCAAGACAGCAAGATCGGCGGGTTCCACAGTTCGTCCTCCGTCAGGGCGGACAATCAGACGGAGCTGGCCGTGAGGACCGGCGCGCGATGGTTGTTGCGCCTCCGTCCTAGGCCGTTTCTGCGGTCTAGCGTTATAGAAGTCTTCGTCGTCACCTTTAATGCCGAGGCGATTCTTAGTCTCCTTGAGGCCGTTTCGCTGTTCGAAGATTGATCTATCGCTGCGCAAAAGCTCCCGCTTGAATATCTCTCGCTGGTATGAGAAGACAACAATCTGTCGTGCATCTTCCAGTTCCTTACGCAACTTCTTTAACTTGTCGCTCACCTGCGCGTCGCGTGCCCTCGTCTTTCTCGTCTGTCGAACTTCACGCCTTCGGAAGCAGACGTAAGGGTCCATATCATCATGCTCTTGATGAGTTTCGAACTTGAGCGAGGGGTTCAAGCTCCTGCTACCGCTCACCTGCCGTCGAGTCTTCCAGTACTCGTAGACATTCTTAGCATGTGCTTGAACGAGCTTGACGGGGACTATGTGGTTCATAGCCTGGGCCATAACGTCAAAGGGCACTACTGTATTGTCAACTGCAGCAAAGGGAGCTTGCTCTGCGGCGGTTTCTTCGAATACTTCCATTATCCGCTCGAAATCATCCTCCGAGAGCTGAGTATTTCCTGTCCACTTAGCATTGTAGGACTTGAGGTATTCCTCATCCTCTGTAGTCATATCATAGAGACAGCCGAGCGTCTCTTCAACAGTTTCGGAAAACTTTATGTAATTTCTGGGCTCTACATATGGTGTGGGATACAGCTCATTATAGTCCGCCTCGCTCTTCTGCGGCGGCGGCACTGGGATCTCATTATCCGTGCTTGCACCAACCCCTCTGAGGGCAGCCTGCAGATGGTATTCCTATTGGTAGGCATGTTAGCCTATGGTAAGTGGTTGACGCTACCTTGATATACCTTGATACCTTGATATCAAAATGGGTAAGACAAGAGTGTTTGTAGCACGTGACATGTCACGTGATATGCATATGAAAGGTAAGAAATGTATTGATAACTCACATTTTCCTCCGCTTGTTCGACACCAGTTGCGATTTGTGATTCGGTTGTGAGAGATTCATATTCGTTGGGGTCGATTTGGTCTTCCCGAAGTACGGGTAGAGGGGTTTTGATGTTAAGTTTCTTGTATCGCACTTTCCGGGTCGACATGGCGGTCAGCGGTGTAGAAGGATTGTAGGGGAAAAATCGACAAAGAGGTCGGAAAACCCCCGAAAAAATTCGGGAACCAAAAAGATTAGATCATGCACCGATGAAAAATTAATTTTTTAAGAGTTAGAACTGCTGTTTTGGCGGTTGTTTTGATGGTTAAAGTGTCGTCTTGGATGAGGTGACGTTGAATTGTTTGGGGCGCAAATTTTTTGCTTGGACGCCGCAGGCAGCCCGAGCAGCAACAACAAAGTGAGAATAGTGATTGTGCAGGTTGTGCAGAGGGTCAGAGTGTCCTGAGTGTGAAAGAATGCCCCACCGAAAAGGACTTACGCCTTCCTCCTAGCCCGTAACTATCTAGAATCCTGAATGCTGATTGGCTGCAGCTTGGCGGCATGCAATTTTGGGCAACAACTTTTGGGGGAGGGGAAGGGAAAAGGGGAAGCCTGGGATGTAGTAGCATACCTAGGTACAGTAAAAGACATAGTGGTACTTGCCCGACAGGTGCCTTTTTGCCTTCCATTCTTGAACCTAATATGTACCTAACTTTCCAGTTCAAGTACAAACCTATTCCTAATTACCTAAACTACTGTAGCACTTACTACAATATGTACTTCGTGGATTACCCCTTTTTCTTTTTTCTTTCTTTACGAGTAAAGAACACGAGGCATAAACCATATTGATAACGCTACCTATTGAGGTCATGTCATCACTTAGGTACCTAAGGTACAGATCAGTACCTACCTGCAAAAATGAGGGACCTAACGCAGAATTATGCATTCGAGACATACATGTAATGGATGTATTCACTAACGACCGCGCTAGCCTACCTGAAGCAACCTGTTTGACCAACGCATCGTGCATCTTGTTGAAATTTTTTTTTCTATCTTCGCATGCAGCGGTATACTTTCGTTGCATGTAACTGTAGATGCCGTTAGATCGTATGTTGCATCTTCGAGCTCTGGATTTCTTGGTTGCAGGAGCATTTTCTCCTATGAGTCAAATTGAAAATGGCATATTTAAGCCACAGGTTGTCAGCCACAGTACCATATTTGATAAGATAGGTACCTAGATAAGAAGTCTTGGGACTTCCAACCGTCAATTTTATGCAAGGAGATACCTATGTACCTCTTTTGAAAGACTCGAGTCTTTCATGATGTATATTCCTAGATACAAGTCCAATACCTAAGTACGATCCGTAAACGTACCTCTTCTCTCTACTAAGCCGTTCATAACCATTTCTATTTTCAACATTTCATTGTTTAGATATAACCGTAACCTACTCTATTACATAAAATCATTAGGTACGTAGTCATGTACAAGGTATCCTGTGGCTTGGGCTATCAGATGCGGCTGTGCTCCTCCAATCATCTACACGTAAAAGGCAATTAAGATCTGAAGGTCGCCTCGTCAAGACAGACCCCACCAGCCCGCATTCTCACCCAACTCTCCATCAGCCTCATCACAAGAGGAACATCACAAGAGGAACATCGCAGGCGGAACGTGAACATAATAGCATCTTTCAAATACTACGACGAATAGCCCCGTTCCTTTGACGTAATTGCGAACACATCCCATTGATATCCCCATTTAAGCAACTGAGTCTTATCTCCGATAATACATAGCAGCTCTTTATCTAGCCTCTTCGTCCCGTTATTTCGAATCCGCCTCCGTTAAGGGGCTTCCCAGCAACATGGGTAATACAACGAGCGTCGTGCTAGATAACATTGTGCAGGGGTCGAACTGTATGTATTCAGCTCCCCCATGGGTATCGTCGAGAATAGTCCTAATTGTGCCGTGTAGTCGACCGGGAGGAGGTTGATAGGCTGAGGAAGAGGTTCATGAAGCTTGATAAAGTACACAGCGCCCCCGCCAGCTCTCTCTTTCGATACGCGCCCAAGCTAATATTATTGGCTTCCATAGGATAACTCGGGCACGATCGAACGAGAAGAGTTTCTTAGCTTACCGCAAATATCGTCAAACCCGCTCGCTACGAGGTACAGCCTTCCGCCTAGTCAAATTTCCTAGCCTCCTACACTACTACCGAACACACCCATAGAAACTCAAGGCTAATCTAATAATGTTTTCCCCGCGAACAGAATGATAGCGATCTTCGACGAGGACGGAGGCGGGGACGTGGACTTCCAGGAGTTCGTGTCAGGGCTGAGCGCGTTCAGCAGCAAGGGCAACAAGGAGCAGAAGCTGCGGTTCGCATTTAAGGTGTACGACATCGACCGGGACGGATACATCAGCAACGGCGAGCTGTTCATCGTGCTCAAGATGATGGTTGGGAGTAACTTGAAGGACCAGCAGCTCCAGCAGATCGTCGACAAGACGATTATGGAGGCCGACCTCGATAAGGACGGCAAAATCAGCTTCGAGGAGTTCACTAAGATGGTCGAGAATACTGACGTTAGCATGAGCATGACTTTAGGTAAGTTTCGCTTTCCCCGGCTAGGGGCGTTTGTTGTTGATGTAGGTTGGGTGCTAATACGGATGTAAAACAGATCAGTTCTAGATACCTAGCTGTACCACCGACGATGTGGCCGTAGTAATGAATTATGAAGCCTGGGACGAACTTGTGCTTGTTAACAGGTGAACTTTGTCATCTGTGTGAAGACTTACTGATTATTAATCTCACTCGCAAGTTGAAAACGGGGGAGTGTTACTTTGAGTGAGCGGGAACTTAGACGAGGTACTAAGATGGATTCAGTATGTATTCGCCACGACGGGTTCCCAGAGATAGCCTCAGAAGTTATATCCATGCATAAATATGAATGTATGTATATTTCGATAGCTATAGACAATCTGAAGAACTCGTGAGATGTCAGTGCGGATGATCAGGTTCGCTCGCTTATGCCTCAAGCTGCTTTGCGATCCCGTCTCCCGTGAAAGATGCGCGTCTCTTTAAGGGCATGTGGTAGAGCCTGGTGTTTCGACTCGCTAGGTTCTCATATTATCTTATGCCTAAAAAGACGGTCTAATTATCCAAGTTCATCTCGTACTTCGGGATTTAGATCATCTCTAACTAAAGGAGGTCCTATTTCTAGGCCATCCTTTCGTAGCAGATTGTTGCATATACGTTATATCGGTCGGTTTCAGAACCTTGGAAAAAAGGACGGCCCGGTATTAAGAGGCATAATGCTTAAGAGAAGGGTTATAAACTAGGCTCTAATGATATTTCAGCTAGGGTTGCTGTGTTTCTTCTCTGCATAGTAAATTTTAGTTGACCCAGGGGCTTGGGGCGTATTCTGGGACTGACTGGAGGAAAAAGCAGCGGAGATTCGAACATAACTACCTATATAATGAGATGTCTAACTTCCCATTGCAGAAACCTTTGGCTATTTAGATAGTTCCTGATGTGACTCACTATATAAGGTCTCTTGATATGTATTGTAGTTTTACGTCTTGTGTATAGGGCTCATTCTCGGTTGGAACGAAGCATCCGAGGTACTTAGCCTACCAAATATATGTATATATTCAGGGGTGGTTAACTTCTTGTGAATCGAAGACTTAAGTCGCATGGCCCGTTTCGAGTCTCGATGGAGAATTTAGATACTACTTCAAGGCCTTAGAATAAAGAAACCAGGAAGGAAGGTCCCTCTTCTTCTCCGATGTACTCTGTCCTACTAGGCAAGGAAATACGATCTCTCCTTGGGAAATAGGCAACTACTCCTTGCCTATATCTGAACTATTTCGAGGTGGAACTAGGAGGCATAGAGACAACTTCGTTATTCCGTAAGGAATTCTAAACCTGCCCAACTATGAGAGCCCGTAACTACTAGAAATAGTAACCAAGTAACATTTTGTTAGGATCCCAAATGAGACATCTAGAACAAAGGATACTTTTAGTATGTATAGCCACAGGCTCCCATAGTTAGCGTAGAGTTCCTTGCGGCTGTCTCCATGCTTCTTCCTCCACCTCGTGATACAGATTTTATCATGGCTAATAGGCTAGCTCTAGTCACTTTTTACATCTCGTCAAGCTAAGTACCTAGGGTGAGATTTTGTTATACCTACTTACCTATGCTAGCAACGGGTCCAGGTTAAGAGAAGAGCTATGCTTAAGCTAGGCGTAACTTACCAAGTAGAATATAATGTCTCAGTTTTTTTAGGGGGGTCTTTTTTTATTTTTTTTATTCCACACTGTTCTACATGCTAGACGAATATGTATTCAGGTAGGCAATGATCATTCGCTAACGCGTGTAGCCGAGGTGCGGTAACATCTTGGGCTAAATATTATAAATGGTCTAAGTTGGGATAGGTACTTGCTAGTATCAATATGTTTATTCGTAGGTATTATTTCTCATTTTAACATGAGGTTATGTAGGATCATTAGACGATCTCTAGTGAGTTAAATGTGTGACCCGAGACCCAATGTACATTGTATTTATCATGTACCAGAGAAGACAACGGGGTATAGTAGTAGCACCATTGAAAGGAGAAAGGAGCATTTCCATTTTCTCTCTACTATTTCCTAATTTTGGGGGTATGGTTTCTCGAAAAACTTCAGGCTTTCATTTTATTTTACGTCCCTTCTCTAGGTAGTAACATTATAAAACCACCTAAGTCGGAGTTATGATTTATTTTTAAACTTCAGTCAGAATCGTCTATGTTAAGGGAGCTAGCTATATGAAAATTAATTCATAGGTACTATCCTATATCAAGCGGGGAGTAAACCTAGCGAAGTAAGAATGGGACAATGTTATAAACTGATATTAACTACCCGTTCTTATATTACCCTTACGACACGAGAAGTACAGAAGGTAAAAGACGGTATTCTTAAGGTGTTTCACCCAGCGTCCTTAAATCAAGAATTGTATGCGTCAATACCAGCCTAAACCAATCCCCTATATATACTGAACTATTAAACTGCCCGATTATATAGGTACCTAGATATATTTAACACATATAATACCTAAGAAATAACTTATTATATTTGTTATTTATGATTGATGAATCTACTGTAAACTGTGGGATTAAAATCTCGTAAAAAGGCTATTGTTATAGTCTTATCGTTTGTGTCTATACTTAACACGTCAGCAACCATCTATTTACTTTCTCTCAATATTAGTAGCAATTTAGGTACCTACCATTGAAGGAATCAGGGTGCAGCTACAATTTTATTTTGTACGTATTGTGAGATGAGGAAAAGAGCAGTTCTGACAGTAATTCGGTTGCTACCCTTTCCGGAGGCTATTGCCATAGCCGTTACTTTACCCCTGTGCGATAGCTTTCAATAACCTTTCACACGAGTAGAAATAAACAAGATGAATATTTAAAATTATATTATATACGAGGTAAAAACATAGTCGCTTACAGCGTTTCTTAAACATTACGTTTCCTCCCTATTTCATAAGAGACATTAGAAACTAAAATACATTAAAATACAAAGCAGCAAGAAAAATAAAATCTGGCAAAACCTAGTTCTCAAAGATCTGGCCCTGACGAAATCTGACCTGAAGACCGAGTTCCCGCTGAGTTCTACGAAAAGACCGGGCACTAGTAGGGTTTTCTATCCCTTCAATTCCGCAACTATCAGGCCGAGACCAATTTGACCAAACGAGCTTTGGATTGGGGGTGAGGAGAAGTATATGAAAAGTATATTATAACTGCCCCTATTACACGCAGCCGCTCCCAAGCCAGGCATTGCTGCCTGGTAGGCTGCGGTATTCTGGCTTACCAAGGTACCTGCGAGTTGCAGGCGACAACCCCTATGGCTATTATAACTAGACATACCTACGTGTATCCTTAATGGTATACCTATGAGCATGAACACTAAGCTCTGTAGACTTGAGATAATATCCCACCTGTATATTGCCCCTTACTGAACTTACCGGATTCGGCCAAACAAAAGAGTTTCGTAGCGTTTAACTACTACAAACAGACTTAAACTCTCTCGCTCATAAACCATACACTACGTAAACGCATCATGTGAACTTATAACTATCGTGGGTTAGGGTTGATACATGTCGAGTAAGTGTAGTCAAGTAGGTGGATAAAAGTTCCCTGAGTATATGTCTCCAGGAGAAATTGAATACTACTAAGCTCTCGACAGGACTACCGATTCGTAGCATAGCAGCTGCACAATATAAACCGCAAGGATTTACCGCTGTTAGTATAAGTAATAGAAGCTTCATAAAATGAATGTAATAACTTGTAAAAAACCTTTACTTATCTTAGGTACCTAGACACCTGTGAAAAGACCAGTTTCCTCGTTACGATCATGTCAATTCGGATATATACTATGCAAGGGACTTAAAGCCCACTAGGGCTCGAAGACGTCAAACATAAATTTGTATTTTCTATACGTAAGTAATTTAGTCACAACATATGAGGATGATCTTGGATGTGATATACTGTTCATAACTAATTTGGAAAGGGAAAGGTATGGCTTAAAGCGACGATGTTCTCAAGACAGATGATCAATGTGCTCTTTTTCGAAGGATCTAGATAAGGAAATATAGGTACACACTTTGGCATTTTAGAAAGAACTTCGACTTCACCGCTGCATACACCAGGTAGCTAAAGGACCACGGCCAGCCGCATAAAACAAGTAACACACATATTTTCAGACAGGGCCTGATTCCCCTTTCTTACCTATCCTCCTCCCGTCCCCCTTCCTAAACAGGAACGTATGACTCCTTTCGGGGACCACTTCGGGATGACCCATCCCCCCAATGGCTACCTGCAGTTCGGTCGCCGTCACGATAAGATAAGACGCCTAGGAATCTTTCTCCGCGCCTCGACGCAAAGGGGAAAGACTCGTGAAGGGCGTCGAAAGAAGCTACCTAGGTAAACCAAACCGACCGACGCCACAATCCGCAAGGAGCGATGGCGATCAAACTTTTCTGCCCTAACCAGCAACGCCCCGGCCGAGGGAACGTCAGACCGGCTCCGCAGCCGGCAATGAAACAGCTGATCTTCTGCAGGTCCTAGAGCGGGAGCGTCCCGTAAGATGACACATGTGACGAACCTGCATCTCCCCTATCTCCCATTTAATGGATGCATGCAAGATGAAACCTGCATGCATATTGCACAACGACCTAGATTGTACTTCGTAAGCTTTACTTAAAGGAGGACATGGGTGGGGGTTCTTTTAGAGATGGTTTCATATCCCAAGCCAATGAACACCTCGTCGGGTTGGCTATGTCTTGGGTTAGGCCTACACCGAGTGGAGTGGAGATGACGGGCTTAGGAAAAGAATTGGAAGGGTGGCCGAATGTTCCGCGTAAGACCAACGCCGTGGTAGCAGAACTGGTTGGTCAAAGAACTTCCCTGCGTTCATGTAGGCGGAAATGGGGAGGGGGTCTCGACTACTGACCGTTATGGCGTTTGCATGTATTCGGGGATGAGCTATGCGGGTAGCTGCATTGGTGGCATTTCTTTTCTCTAGGATGGGAAATTTTTGTCGGTTCTCAAATGTGAGTGATGACCTGTCGGGATCGATGCCGGTGACGAAACCGTGTTTTACTGTAGATCTTAAAACCTGCAGGGAAGCACAACCGCAGGTCCAGCCGTTCAAGTTCAGCTCCTGCGGAAGATTCGCTGATGCGACGTCAGGACTCCCTCAGCCTCTTCTTTCCCATAGTCTGGGATAGGGTAGTACTGGGTTCGCAACAGCCCAGCCCTACATGGACTACATGGATCCCCTTTGGCTTCTCTAGCGTCTTAGGACTTAGAAGGCGGCCTCGGCGTCGTCGGGCCCGACTGTCTGGTAGGATACGGTGGATGACAATGTCGAAGTCGGTTGATGAGACATGACCAGGGGTCCTTGGATGTCGTACAAATATATTCAAGCCCCTAGACCCGAACCCCTTCAATGTCTTTAGAAATGAGTAGGTACCTACCTAATAAACAAGCTGCTTGTTTGCTGAGATTGTTTCAGCGCTTCAG